GGCTCGCGAGGCGTGTTTGTTGAAAAGGAGTGGACCTTACGGTCCTGTTCCGTGTCGTTGGGAGGATTGAACAAGCCGGGCGAGCGTCATTTTTGTTGTGATGTGCGGCTGACGTGTGCGGTGTATAATGCTTTGGTCAATAAAAGAGATAGCAAAAAAAAAAACTTAGCCCTCCCCCATGTATCCACTCCATAAAAATAGTCGCCTCCAGCTTCCATTAGAAGCAGTTTATGACGTACGATTGTCATTGCCAATGCCCGGCTCGAGGGCGGCGAGTTTTTAGCACAGAGCGTTACACATACGACCGGTCGGTCAGCTACGGGCAACAACCGCTAACCAGTCAAACGATAAAGTACACTGACCACGCCCGGGGCATTCAGTTGCGTGAGTCGCTGGCGGCCAGTCGCCTCTCGGCTTGGAGTGTGATAGCACCCGGCCATCTAACATGTAGTACGACGTTGGCGTGCAGTGAGGTGCGATGCGTTCTTCAGAGACAGCCAATCGTACGTGAAGCTTCGGTGCTTTCCTATATTCGCAGCAGCGCAGTATGGTTCGCTGAGCCGCTTACCGTGTTGGATACTACAAGGTCTTTCAGTGACGCGTTAGCCCGTTGAGGGCTATTCCCCGTCAGGATGCGTGTCCACCTGTGGCTTCTCGTTGTGCTGGTGCCAGCCGTGGCCGGAGGGTTCTTCGACCGAATGGTGGCGCGTTACCGCGAGCGGCGAGAGCACCGCCACGAGGAGAGGTTCCGGCCCATCTTCGTCGACTACCAGGACGAGATGGAGAAGCTGATCGCAGAGAACGCCGCTAACATGGAGAGCGAGCACCCTGAGTTTGCGCTGGGAGTGCCGGTGAACACGGGGTACGATCAGAGACCGCAGACGAGACAGCGGTATCGCCGGGAGAGACTGCGGGGTCTGGGACAGCGGGCAGAGAGAACGCCGACCGAGGAGGGCCAGCGGGGTCACGAGGAGCACCAGGAGCAAGAGAGGCCCAGAAACCGGCTCAGAGGGGCCGGGATGCTTCTGTTCGGCCGCAGACGTCGACCCCTGGGCCGGCCGCGCCTGCGCACACCACCCACCCCCGTTCCGCCGACAACGACGCGACCCACCGAGACACCGCCTCATCACATCCGGCTGCCGACTGCCATCGACGGCTTCGACGGCATCAGCCCGTCGACACGCCGTCCAGCGGCTTACATCGGCCCCCACGGAAGGGTGGTGCTCCGGGACCGAGACCCTATCGGCGCCGGGCAGCCCCCTTACCGGCGGCGGCCACCGCACCGGGCACCCTCGGAGAGACGAAGACCCGTCCCGGCGCGCAGGCACCCGGTGCGAGGATGCAGAGGCAGAAGATCGTGTGTAGAGGAGGGGAAGAACGAAGGTCTCGTGCCGATGCCACTGCCAACGCCGCCTCCAAACTATCATCCCAAGATGATAAGACCGGAAAATGCAGTGCCGACGAAACCATGGACGACGAAGATTCGGGAGCCAGAAAAGACAAGACTAACAAGCGAAAAGCCATCGCCTCAGTCAAGAGCAATAGAAAATCACTTGTCTGAAACTATGGACCCCCGTGTTAACCCAGGACGAGGCTCACGGAGGACAACACGAACACCAGCGGAGGTAACCCAGCGGCCAACGACGGCAGCCCAGATTCCAGTACCGGAATCAAAGGAGTCCATCCCGGGAGGTGAGGCTCTGTTCGAGGCCATGACCTCAGTGCTGGACACGGCGCGGGTCGCTATGCTGGCAATGATGCCGCACGTTCCGGGCATCGAATCAGCGTCATATGGAACTAAAATGACAAAAGCACCGAGTTCTGAAAAGGACAAGGCGGCATCATCAGCTTTGTCAGATGACCCTATGCTCGGACAAGGCAGCACAGAGCACAGCGGCAGCTTCGCCAGGCATACCGTGAAGCCGATGCCTGACTTGCGGCGCTTGAGAGCCACTACCAGTCATCCCACGGTGTCCAACTTTGATACCAACGATATGCTATACACTAGGCAGGAAGAAACTGAAGAGGAAAAGGAGCAGGATTCCAGTGATATCCGCTGGGCCAATCTGCTCGCAGCGGCAGGAGAGGAAGATCTCGCGACCGTTTATGGCATGCTCGAGAGGGCAAGGGAAAACAGAGAGATCATGAGCAGGGTAAGAAGCCGACAGAGAGTTGGATTTCAAGGAACATCGACAAGTGGAGAAGAGGAGAAGGTCTACGGCAATGCTAAGATCAATGGGGAAGCGCCGTCTTTTCGCGATGAGATTCCCCTCACAGTAAAAGAACGGGAAGAAAAACCAGCGACAAATACAGCTTCAATCAGAGCACAGCTCAAAGCGATCGTGGAATCACTAGAAAACGAGCCTAACCGGCCAGACCAAGCTGTTGGACAGGGTCACGACGATTGGAAAGCATTCGACAAATACTCCAGCGGACGGAGTTCTGTGTCAGAGATTGGCACGTTCTCTCAACACCCCTCTATGCCTCCGGAAGTTCACAAGCTGAAAACCGACGAGAGTGAGCCTGTGTTTCGTAGTGGTGAAGAACGATTCCCAATCAACGCTGCACCCGTGATCTATGCAATCTGGGGCTCCAGGCGTGACAAGGATAAGCACATTGGCAGAACCAGTTCAGAGACGGGTGGAAAGCCCATCCACACCTCCAATGCGGGGGAAAGGCCAACACATTATGTTGATGATGGCTACCCACTCAGTGAAGAAGCCTTGTTCAGTTCTCAGGATCAAGCAAGACACTATCACGATGAGAACACCAACCTTAATGACAATAGTGAACAGAAACAAGGGACAAAACTGAGCTATCCAGACGGGAGCGCACAATTGGACAAAGGTGCCGGCTTGGGGTTTCGTGAACCTAGCCACAACCGTAACTCCAAACTCAGCAGGGTTCCCGCTGAAGAAGATGGCTTCAGCAACACGCCTCAGAGTGTAGGTGATGGACGAAGAAACAGATACATTTTGGGCCCCAGCGATTTACGTGACGTGGAATACACCCACCAGGACGGCGATAGTTTTGTCGAAGACGGCATCAACGCCAGGGTAAGCGACGCCAGTTACAATGGTTTCAAGGAACCAGCAGGCAATGCGCAGTTTCGAGACGGTCACCAAGTCAGACCAAGCATTGCGGCAAGTGAAAATGATTTCACTCCTCGACCAATTCAGCTCCACAAGCCCTACTTCGAAATTCATTCTAAAGCCTCTAAAATTCAGGCGGACATACAGCAGAGCGATGAACGCAAGACAATGGATAATTTCAGCCCCAGCATGGCACCTAACATCGCATCGACTGAAGACGCTGGGTTTACAGTTGCCAAGCAGCCTTCAGACGAAGCCATCTCTGAGAAATCTGGCTCAAATAGCAACTTAAACAGCAGGGCAGGTCAGGACCAGGTGGATGAGCAGACAAGTCCACCACATTCGACAGTTCCAGGCGGGAGGAGACCCGAAGACGCAAGTTCTAAAGTAAGGCCAGCAGCAGTCCATCCCACTTCCACTGACGTCCTGCACAGCGGACAACCTGCAAACGAGCCCCAACAAAGCACAGGATCAAGTGAACCGAGGGCTAGTACAACTACATCACCTGAAAGCACCAGTCCTTCGACAGCATCGCCACAACCAGTAGCGGAAGTGTCCATAGCGACGCCATCACCCCATCCGACTACAGCACCCAGTACATCTGACCAAGCTGCACTCCAAGAAACTGATCAACCGACATTCGCCACGACTGTTCAGTCAGCGCCCAGGACGACTTCACAGCCCACGTCATCGGAAGAAACTGTGACGGTGTCGCTCACTCTGGAGGAACTGATGAGACTCATCAGTCAAGTGTCTCAGAAGCCGCCAAGCGCCATGGAAGAAACGACCTTAACAGCGCTGGGTATTGAGAAAATAACGGAGAAAACGAGGGAAGAGGACGGACACGAAATCGTGCATGCTCCCAAAATAAATGGAGAAGACAACCCATACGAAGAGGAAAGTGAGGATCCCTTTGAACACGTCGAGAGTGGTGAAAACGTCGAGAATGCCGCAACAAGGCCGATGGAATCTACGCAAGTACAGAACACAGACAAAACTTTCCCCGCGCATCACGAAGAGAGGACGTTTCGTGTCAACCAGAGGAAAGACGGTGACGAGATGGATGATACGAGTTTCAGAGAAACGTATCCCAGAACTACTTCATCGTCCATCGAGAGCGACGACGGACGGTACGCAGGATCTCTGCGCCCTCCACCGACAGCTCCTATGACTACCGAGCAGTACCAGTCGACTGAAGCGAGCCGGAGCGATGATAAGGACGATGGGTTGGGGTTTGGGGCGCCCGGACTGCAGAGGTCCTCGACGCCCACCAGTCGCAGCGAGGTGCTGCTGACAACTGAAGTCATTCCAGAGGTGCAGATGAGGTCCACGCTCACTACTGAACATCTTCAAACGACAATTCCTTCAAATATCCAGACATCTCAGCAAATCACCAGCCCGACATATGCTGCGATTACTACACCTCAACCATTAGCCTCACCTACCACCTCAACTACCAGCGACGCTTCATATCTTCGAGAGCCACCCACAACTATTGATTTCCCGACGACACAGGCCAGCCCGCCAGTGGTTGAAATGTTTGCCATTCCCACATTCGGCGAATGGCTGGTGGCACCAGCTACGGAAGCGAGAGACTACTTCAACGAGGGAGAGGAAGGAACGACCAGCTCAATGGTGTTCGAAGCGGTAGCTGTACCGACAGTTGACGATTGGTTTGAGACTGTAACATCAAGTTCAGGCACCACTAGTGGCTTCCCTTCTGCACTGACCAGTCAGCCGTCTACCACGACCAGGCAAGCAACTGCAACTACTTCTCCAACGTCTACTACAAGAAACCCACCCACCACCACTACTTCTACATCAACTTCAACGACTCTTCAAGCCTTTACAACCGGTACAAAGCCTACTACAAGCCCAGCGACAAGAGCGACAAGTTCGAAGCCTACAATGACCAGCTCAAAGAGCAGTCCCAAGCCTACCACCAGTCAAAAGCCAGCAAAGATGAGCCCCGAGCCTAAAACTACTAGTCCGAAATCTACCATGACCAGTACAGCACCCGTAACAAGCAGTCTAAAAACCACAACGACCCGCCTGAGCCCCACCACAAGCAACTTTAAACCAGAGACGACCATACCAGATCCTACAAAAAGCACTTCGATGACCTCAGTCGCCAGTTCAACTACTGCAAGAAGTCAGACGTCATCGACAAGCGATCAACCAACAACTACTACAACAGCAGCAGCAGCAACCACAACAAGACCTACAACCACTTCGACAAAGCCAACAACAACCACAACGACAGAGCCAACAACAACAACAACAACAGCAACAGAGCCAACAACCATAACAACGAGAACAACAACCACAACAAGGCCAAAAACCACAACAACGAGCCCAACAACCACAACGTCAACACAAACAACTACTACGACAAAGTCAACAACCACGACAAAGAGAACGACCACGACAGAGCCAACAATGACCACAACGAGCGAAACAACCACAACAACAAGGTCAACAACCACAATGCTCAGTTCAGTACCCACCACAACAACCGAAGTGCTACCAATCAGGTCCGAAGAGGTGACTACACCTCCGCTGTCACTCCTGGAACAGGTGATGACAAGGTCCGTACCGTTTATCAAGAAGAGGAGGCGCTTCACCACACCGACTTCGGTTGAAACAACCACAGATGGGTCGAAGATAGAGCCCATTCAAACGACGTCAAGCTACAAAGAGCCGAGTTCCGTGATGCCGAGACCTGACGAGCACACGACAGCTAACCCTGGACTAGTCACATCGAGACGAGAATCACTGCGCTATGATGTAGAAGTTGCGAAGCCAGACATCCAGGCAACAGACGAGGAAGATGGTGAGGATCGGAACACGCCCACAAAGAGTCCATTGCCCAAGATGTCACCTGAACTGCGGATGGCGCTGGTACGGGAGTTACTGAAGCAGATGCAGGCTGCCAAGCAGTCAAACCAGAAGAAGACGAAGGCCATGTCGGGGACGAAATCTGCGACTCAGACCTATCATTCACAACCGGCAGAGCAAGATGACGAGCAACCGAAGATGCAGACGATTGATGAAACAGCAGCGGACACCTCGTCAAACGACGAAGAAGAAAATGAAGAAGATCCTCCACCAATCGAAGAAGAATCTGACGGGCTAACTATTGACCCTGAACCGTCCGCTCAAATCGAAGCATCTCGGGCCGACTTGGAGGGCTTGAAACAGAACATGGAAGCGAAAAAGGCTTCCAAAAATTTGAAAGTCGATGTCAAGGTAGACCCAGAAGTCAAGACTGAGGCCGAGAGAATAGCAGCCTTGCTGAAAGGCGATGTACCACAAACCAAAACTATTTCGATACGCCAGGAACCTGAGACATCAGAAGAGAGCCAAGAGCCAGTCACACCCTCGGCATTCCTTCGCGCACTGCGAGAACGGGTGAAAAACCGCCCGTCAATCCGAGGCTCACGCAAGAAGACTCGGCCAAAGCCACGGCGACGCGGCAAGATAAGGAAGTCGCTGCCTCGCGGGCCGAGACCGTCAACAGAGGATGAAGAGGATGAGACAGAAGATGTCGAAGATGACAATGACGAAAAGATGTCGGAAGAGGATCCCAAACATTCAGAGCAGCCCAGAGCGAAGCTTCATCAGCTGGTCAATGCAGAGCTCAATAGTCAGAACGACGAGGAAGCTGCCGCCGAAGGTCTTGATAATCTAGAATAAGAAACTTCGCAGGTAAATCAACATAATGTCAACATGATAATATTTTAAAACTGTTGACTTGATTGTGCCTCTGTTGCCCGATTGTTCCGTGAATACAACTAGAATGAAAGGTATGAAAGCAAGATTGTAGCGTTTTGTGATCCGTGAGTGTTTGTTGTCGCATTTTCATCTTGCTGACAAGTGACATGCTTCCAGACTAATCGCACTGAGAGCCAAGGGAAGTTGATGAAGAGCACGGGGTCATCAGATTATGCAATCTCAGACAAACGGACCCGTGCTGTTGCAGCCGGCAGTGACCTTGCGAGGAAGTTCATCGTTTCATACGTGCTGTGTCCGTAATGCCAGTGTATGAACACGTTGCTGCTTCTGAAATACACGTTATTACCACCTACCTCGCCGTATTGCCCGCATAATAACAGCTTCCAACACCCAATCACGCTTCAACCCCCGTTAGTTGAGGCAATCGTTCCTGACGACAGCGTTCGGAGGGGGGGGGGGGGCGGGTCGGATAAAGGTTCACTGTTCTCTGGCCCGGTAAAAACCCGTGCTCCCGCCCCGCAACCCTGAAAAACTGGGCCGCTGGGTGCACACGCTCAGGTTACGAAGCACATACACGTAACCAGAAGTTGTCTCATGTCTATTGTCTGGGGTCGACACCTGCACCCCAAGACCCGCCGGCTCGGCTCGGTGCAAAGGGACAACACTGGACAGCACTGCGCTGAGCAAGCCAGCAGTAGGTAAAACGGCACAGCACGAGCGAGCACAAGGACAGGCGGCATGAGAGGGAAAACGATGTCGGCATTGCGGCGTTATCCACATCCTGAAACAGTCAGTGGGCAGGCATGCTGTAACGGGTATCGTATGTATGACAGGAGGAAAAATGTGGTAGCCGGTGTGTCGAAATGAGCTATGAGTTGACCTGTGCTGAGTGCCGGCATGTGAAGGTCAAGTGGCGCCGATGCGTAGTTGGGAGTGGTCAGAAAACGTTTGAGATAGTTGTGCTCTCATCCTATAAGTCAGGATGGTGTTGTATTTGGCTTGATGTTTGATTATGTGGACTCGATTGTTACACATCTAAACAGTCTTACGTATCATAAACCATCGATTACAAAGTAAGTATTGGCGATTTCACATTTTATTCATCGCCATTAGTCATTTCAAAATCAACAATTTAACACATATAGCATTCCATGGTACAACAGTTCAAGAGATAGATTGGCTATTCTGTAGGAATATTGAGCTCACAGCAATATGACTTGTTCACAATTTACGTTAGCGACACTAAGATCCGAGTAGAGCAGGGACATCACATAAACCGCAGGCTACTGATAAAACAACCACGTCAAACTAGCCAAGCAATAAACCACAGTAAGGGATTCGGGTGACATCGTAGAATATCCTCGAATGACACAGACAAAATATAAGCGGACAACCGACATTCAACAGCGCATGGACCATTTGCCAATCCTGATATGACCAAAAGACCACCAGCTGATTCTTATTTCGCTCAGCTCATCTTGTAACACGTCTGCTACAATAGAATATTTTTTCAGGTGCCCTGAAACTTCACATCACATGCCTTTTCCTGTTGCCTGACGTCTTTGGAATAAATTTCTTTTAAACACATCCATGAATGTTCGGAATTCAATGACGCGTTGTTAGATGCATCCAAAAAGGCCACTCTAGTTACCGTCGTACCCAACGACGGCTCAGTATGCCCCGCTCTCCGTCCTAACAGTATGCCCCGCTCTACGTCTTGAAGAGGATGAGTCGCTAAACCGGTCAGCTCATTCGCTGTCATCCTTTGGAAGCTGCCCCACCACACCTGACACTGCTCACAGAGACTAGCCTACAGCAGCCCAGCGAGCAGGGAAGCAAGCCGAGACGAGCTACCACTCTCCCGCACAGATTCCAGAGAGCTAGAAGAAGCTGGGGAGGGACCGCTTTGCCTACGTCACCGTTCAGTAGACAAAGAGCTCGGGGAAGTGCATCTCCTGAAGTGTGGGTGCCCGGTATACGGGAGGCTGACCCGGGTCGTCGCTCAGCGCGCCGGCCGCCTCGCCGTCCGGAGCGTCACTCAGGCGGGCGAATATCTCGTCCAGCTTCTCACGCAGCGTGTCAGCCTGTGAAAGGAGGAAGGGGGTCAGAAAAGTGCCGAATAAAGCGATGGGACGGATAACAATGCTGTGGTGCCTAAACATGCATACCAGCATCTGTGCTACCCAAGCATAGACACTCCAAAAAATGATGATTTTTTTTTAAATCAAAATGTCAGAAATCAAGAATTATTATTTTACCCTCCATCACATTCTTGAATTTATTCACTGATCGACCATGCCTTATCAACACTCTTATGACTCTCCACCAGACGGTCATGCCATCCCCGCCTTCTCCCTCCCCTCCGCCCATTCCACCCTCCCTCTCCCTCTCCCTCCCGTTCTCACCCCGGCGCCGCTCTGCTGGCTGAGCGCGTGCAGACTGAGTGTGCGGCACGCCTCTGTCAGTTTCTGACGTTCCTCCTCCTGCTCTGCCCTCCTCTCCTCCGGCGGTGCTCTCACCAGGCGACGCATCGCCTCGAAACTCACCGACTCCGGCGGCGGCTTCGGCTTTGGGACAGACAGGGGAGCGTTAGAGGGAGCAAAGCCAGAGACGAGAAGGACAGCATGGTGACACCGGGTAAGTAGCTGATCGCTGTAAGCAAACTGCAAAAATAAAATAAAGCAGCTGTTAGTCCACGGTAGGGCAAATGTAATAGACGAAAATAATAAATTATAGACACTGGAGATAATTTGGTCATCACATAGGGTGCTTCTTGCACTTTATGCGGATTCCAGCGCAATTTATGTGGCTAGCTTTATTGACACTATCCTCCTATTTAGGTAATGAAAATTTGTCACATCCGGTCAGTCTCGCATGCAATCAAATCCAAGATATAGCCCATTCATTGAAAAATAGTGAGAATGCACAAGAAAAGTCATCAACACCGATCGCTGCCTTCACACTAGCCTCTGGAGGTTTAAACAAACCAACCAGTCTAGCAGGCGGTCTACCAATCTGGTGGTCCAAAAGGTTTACCTAACAAAATCTGTAGTGATCAGAAACCAGTGAATATTGCGAGGTCTGCCAAGGGACCAGTGACTCGAATTCGGTTGCGGCCGATGACCGGTGTTGGTCGTAACCAGTGACCAGTGGTCAGTGACCGTCGTGGGTCGCTGACCCGTGACCGGCACGGGTCGTGACACCCAGTCACGCTCCCCGTAACAACGAGCCCGCCCTCCGAGAGGGAGGCAGATGTGTGAAGCCGTGAGGTCAGTGGAGCACACCACCACTAGGTACACCTTGGGACTGGTGTGCAGGCGCAACTTTCCCAGGGACTAAACGTGGGTGGTATTCTGGGAACGATAATGGTTCCTAAGCTAATGGGCGATACACCACCTACAGGATCATAAATGTAATTCTACGCAAGATTGTATATGATATTGCTAGATGACTTTCATAATCATAGATAGGTTCTAACAACTATGGAGTCCGTAATGTAGGTATGTGCTCCTCTAGTCGCTACTACACAAGGGTACCTCTATCATATTTTATGACATTGACCTCGAAGTTTTGGAAGCATAAAAAGTGTAACTCCTATAAAAATACGAGGGAAGAAATGTCATGATCTATCTAATCCCAAACACCAAATGACCAGCAAAACGTCCCGAACCATCACCCCCGCAATACATGCAGTTTAGCATGGCTAGTCGGCACCCTAAGGTGTTCACACAGAGTATTCCAGCATGCAATAGCATTTAGCACCAGTGCCGACCGCACCCCACTCTAGCAAAAGGCGTGCTACCATAATCCGTCGAGAGGGCAGAAAGGGAGCAGATAAAGGAGATAGAAGGTTCACCGGGCCACTGTTGGCCACTTACGTGATGCTATCGGTCGACCAATCGACAGCGGCAGCGGCAGCAGCAGCGGGATCCGCACATGGCACACAGCGAGCGAGCGAGCGAACGAGAGGCGGGGTGGAGAGCGAGGAGAGAAGCGAGTCATTCAGTAGTCATGGGAGATACTCGAGCTGGACAAGTCATAAAGATAAAATGGAGTCTGTGTGGAGTCATATTTGGGCTCGAGGTGTCGCTGGACACAAGAGAGCCAATTTACAGTCCGGACACGAATGAATTTATGTCAGATTGAGAAATATGGGGAGCAGTTGAGTCAGAGACAGAAAGACAGCTGGGATCAGCTTGCGAAGCCAGAGTATCGGAGCAGTGAGCATTGCAGAAGAGGTCGGCCAGAGGAGAGGAGTAAGAAAGCGTCAGGACGGAGAGAGCAGAAAAGGAGAGGAGTGGGGGCACAACAGCAGACTGTTGAGGCTGACAACACGAACAGCACAGTCGGCAGCGGCGCGAGGACAGCTCGTACCAAGGTCCAAGGCTGAATGACGCGGCCAATCTGATCTTACAACGTATTTATGCAACGCTAATGGCCAACTCAGGGTACTAAATGTTTGGACTTTTTCTTTCTGCCTGGAACGGCAGATGCACTGAGGGATAAGTTTTAGTTTGGTTCGACGATTCGTAACATTTCGTACTTTTATCGTGTTTCGATGCTACGTCAAAGAGAGACCCAAGTACATTCATTAAATGTATTGCATATCACACATGTCAAAGGCGAACACATGAATTATCCAACGGAAGACACATTCTGCACTATGCAGAGCTTACACACATTCCAAACAACCAAAAACTTCGTTAATCATGAGCGGAATCTGAGTCGTTGATCTGGCACCGAATACCCTGAAGAACTACACGCCACTCGGCGGGACAGCAGGCTACTGCGAGAGACACTGGTCCCAGTCGGGCCAGTACTTGTCCTTCATCCTCTCGAAGTACTGCACCAGCACGGCGTGGTTGTCTCGCACGTAGCGCTCCACCTCCGGGGCGCAGCCGATGATAACCTGGGTCAGCTCTGCGAACACGGCTGCGTCGTAAGTGCTGGGTGTCTTGGCCACCACGAACTGCTTGTCACCGATCACGTCCTCCAGCGCGCGCAGCTCGCGGCGCAGGAAGAACAGCACCTCCTCCTCGCTGAAACGGCCCATGCCGTTCGTGAAGAAGTACTTCTTCAGCTGCTTGCTGAAGGCCGGGTAGAAGATCCTCATCATGAGCTGATACTGCTTGGGGAAGCACTTGAGGATGTAGGACATTCTGTCCAGGACGTAGCGCTTGTAGGCGACTGCGACGATGGTGTGCTCGTCCAGCATGACCTGAACGGCTCGGCCAATGGCGTGCTGGGACGGACTCAGCTCCTCTTTGATAGGCTTATTGAAGTGTTTGGCCAGGTAGTCGATGATGAGCTCAGAGTCGGACAGCTCCTCCCCGTTGATGGTGATCCAGGGACACTTTCCACGCGCGCCCTGTGGCTCCTCCGTGTCCACGATGTACTTGATGCCGGCCATCCGCAGGTAGGTCTCCAGCTTCAAGGCGAACGGTGACAGGTTGGGCATGTTGGTACCGCGCTCGAACTGGTGCAGCACCACCACGTCCTTGCCGGCCTGGCTCCAGCGCTGGCGGCGCTGGTGCGCCTTGTACTTTTTGTACAGCTTCAGTCCAACGCCGAGGATGGCGGCGGCGAGCACCACCTTCCCGACCTTTCTGCCGGTCTGGGTGCGCGCACAGTGCGACACCTCGCGCCACACGGCGTGGGGACGGGGGATCGCCACACCGCCCGGTGTAGCCACAAACGCCATGGCTGATGAGCAGAGACGGTCCGGACGCCGCGGACGGAGCACCACGACTGGCGGGCCGGCGAGCGCTCCAAGGCCACTCGAGTGACGGGGTTTCCGGGGGTCAGAAGTGCACCGTCAGCACGGCGCCGAGCGTCAGGAGTATCGCCCAGAGCGCGCCGATAGGAGCCGCAGCGGCCGGCACTAAAACCGATAACAAAACTGATCGGTACACCGCTCATTGAAGGATTTTCTCGTCGCATTGCGTATCTGCCACTATTCGACGCCTCAATGTGTCCAGCTGGTTACGGGTAGATCGTCTGCGACCGCTGCCGGTCCTGAACAGCGATGTGATGATGACTGTCGTCATTTCAAGGTCGGCCCTGCGCGAGATGTTTGACTAGTAACGCACACATGCCAGTTTCCACACAATCTCAATGTGGCTGGATCTAGCATGCAGCACAGGCCGAGTGGTGTTTAGGAGCTAATGATTCCAGTCAATAGGATTTTCACTTTAGTACCAGTATCTTCAGTAGTCAGTCCTGGATTGAGGCAGCTGAATCAGGTACCTAGATTAAACGAGTAGATGCGTATTATTTTTCTGAGGCTAGTGTGTCAGCCAACAGTGTATCGCAAGCCCGGTACGCGACTCCATCAGGTAGGTACCATTTCGTCATCGAGGCGGCAACGTCGCTTTCTATCAGCCGTTACCGAGGTAACGATAGCGTTATCATTCTCCAATGGGCGGCGGCGTCCGACGTCCAACGTCTAATGTCCGCGTCCAACGTCCACGTATGATAATATACGAGTATGGACAATACGTAGATACGTCGCATAGTGACGAGAAAGGGGTGTTTTACGCTCCTTTCAATTCCTTTTGTATGTATCCAGTAAATGGTGGCGCAATGCGCCAAATTTACTTAGATCGAATGCTTTTTACTTAATTTAGAATACGTTTTCATAGACTTTTTCACAAACGTCAAAACTACCATTCGGGAAGGTCAGGCCAACTTCGCAAAGTGCGAAATTGTTCCCAAGTCAAATATCAGCCGCCGGTCCACCGCCTAAGCCCACACTGACAGCGGAGAGGGGACACACATGACACAAGGGACAGCGAACACAGCATGCAGTACAGCGGAGGGGCAGTGTGGTGGATAAACACACTGGGCGCGGAGCAGAGCTTCTGACATTGCGAGCAATCAAACAGCAAACATTCAACCGCAAATAGAGATAGCGTTCAACATGGAAAGATAGCAGTATACAGTGCAGTTTGAGAGAGGGAAGGGGCCGGTCTAAGGGTGGAGCTTATCGCCCAGGGTGCGACACATCGAGATAAAATACACATACACATCAGTTCCACATCAAACAGCGAAGTTGCCGGACATCGAAACGACCAAGTTGCTTAGGTTGCCTAAAACTATCCAAGGATACAATAAAGAGCGACAGAGAATGCTGAACAAAGAAAAGAACAGAGACTACAGAGGCAACAACATCGGGGTAATTCGTACCTATACACGGCGGTCTCCCTTCTCTGAAGACGTCGTTCCGATCGAATCCCTTCAGCTTCGTCCAGTCATCAAACTCATCATCATACCATACACTACACTCGTCACACTCATCAGCTAACGTCAGGTTTGTACTGAGCTCAGCATCCAGCCGTCGCATCCGCAGAAAATGTACAGTACAAGCGTTCACAATGCGTCAAACAGACGCGACAAACGCGATATAAACACGCACCTCTTGGTGACGCTCGGAAAGCGAGCGAAGCTGAGCAAACGCGGACGAACAAACACAGCTCAGAGGCATAGACAGAGATAATCTGACTTTAACAGAATAGATATACAGCTTAGAGGCTCAGACAGAGATTATCTCATTTAATTAAACAAAAAACACACTCAGCTGAAAGGCTCAGACTGAGATCATCTTACTAAAACAGAGCGGCTTTAAAAGCTCAGACAGATAAACTCACATGGATCAGCACACCCGGTATTTGCGAATAAAAATAAAGCCTGTCTCTATATTACTTAGGTCAATACAAATCAGGACCGATACCTAAAAAGCGTCGAGCAACTGAAATCTGCAGTAAAATAATAACTGGTTGTTGATCTTTTGCCATTCAGGACGTCACTCTAATTCGGCACCAAGGATGGCGAAGCAAAAATCTACCAGTTGCTCAATCACATTGAAAACATAACAGAGCATCACAGTCGTATAGAATTTATGTCCAGGCTAGTTTCACATGCAACTTAATGTCAAGTGGCGATGGACCATTTTCAACGAGACAACAAACTCAGAAACAGGTCATATACTCGTATCTACAGCGACAACTTACACCCCTGCCTCCAATCGAGGCACACTGATTAGAACACATTTTACTCCTCGCCCTCACGCACCCACCAAAATACATTGTGCGTTAGTGAAGGCTGGTCAAATCGACACTCAGCACACCAAAGTCGCAATCTCACCCACTGCCTCTGCGCCTACGGTAGTACGTCCCGTCGCGTGAGAGTTTTTGACAGTACACAGGTGGCACAGTGTTCCAACCACCTCACGACCTACTGGGTGAGTCACACCCCTGTGATGTGTCCAAAGAACGGGCACAGGTTCCGCTGTTGAAGGCAGCTCAGCACGAGCGTCTCTCAGACCTCACCAAAGTCAAAGCCACAAGCCATATTTGCAGACGTGTCAGGGCCGAGCCGCGACAGCGTTTACTTTACCGCACCCACTGACAGTGCAAAAAAAAAATGTGAGTTGTCATGATAGAATGTAATGGAAGCGAACGGTTCGACACATAGACGAAGGCAGAATGACTACAATGGAAAAGATCAAGCAAAACTGATTTCAGACCAGACGATCTCAAGATGAACGCGGGTCCAGTCAGTTCACCATATAATAGCTCGACAAAACTCAAGCAAAGTTTCACAATATCCGCTCTAGGTTGACAATCTCAATTCACTTCACTTTACAATCTACCAATATTCAACGTCCAGCTCACTTCACTAGCTCACTAGCCCACAGCGGCTCAATATCTCACTCCGAGCTCACAGTCCTCTGGAGGCGGGCCGGCGCAGCTGCCGACTGCGGTACCTGAGTTCGGGCGGTGGCGGGGGCGGGGGCGGCGGGCGGGCGGCGCGGCCGGGTCGCTCAGCACATGAACTCCCGGGGCCGACGCCCCACGTGCTACAAGACCACCTGTCGCCGGGGCGAGGCGCGGCACGGCCGGGCGCGGCCACAGGCGCGCAGCATACTCTCGCCGCGACACCAGCGAGCGGCCTGCAACAGCGGCCACCAGTCGTTGGGGACCGGTGAGGACGTATTGGAGGCTAACGTAGCAGCGCTGAAGGCCGAGTGGCCATCTTTTGAGCCCAAATGACTCGACAGCTAGCAGAGTGCCAAAGAAAGGACACCACCTGACAGGCTCGGAGATGAACTCACGAATATATCTGTAGTTACTCTGTAGGACCGCCAAGGATTACCAGAATTATAGGGCAGTATTTCGCCAAGGCCAACGGGAAAAGGACCAAAAGGGCATGGACAGACAGTTTTGAGCTGCCGAGATTGGAGACCACCGGATTGCCAACAGAAAGCTAGCGAAAGACGCAGCTCGGTGCGAGAGAATAAGAAGTCTACACGAACAGCGCAAAAAAACCAAAGCTGGGAGGAAATCCAAAATAGCGAGACGGAAATGCAGCATGATTCATAAGGTGCAATCGATAGACGAAAGGCATCAAAGGTACGGTCTGTGCATATTAAAGAGTAGCATTGTATAGAACGCAAGTGCAAAAAGTGCACAACGAAAGCGTCCAAAGTAGCGTACACCAAAAGCACACGAATTCAAGGATAGATTTGTACGTAATAGCAGAAGCCACGCTCAGGAGACGCATACTATGCATAAACAGAGCACAAGGAAGCGAAGACTGCTTGTTGAACCAGCTACTATTACGTTTATGAGGTATTACATTAACCAGTGTGACTAAATTCATTTTACGGGGGAGGATGTAGAAAAAAGGCCTGAAAGGATGTCGTTAATAAAACTTGACTTCGACCCTTTTTATGTCACGAGAAAATGATGTAGAAATATTAAATACTCATAAAACTTTGAAAGCATTCTGATATTCGGGATGTTAAATGAGGTTTAAGTTGGGTCATATATTTGAACATTTGGGGTATTCGAATGGTTGTCTTGGCGTCTTGTAAGAGTTTGCGAGGTTTGTGTTTCTCTTGCTCCTAGATGTTTGGTTTGAGGTTGTTATTATGAGTCGTGACTGCTGTGTGGATGTTTTTATTTGTATTTTTAGGATGTCATTATACTTTTCATTATGGGCGGATTTCCCCGCATCATTACAATTTTGGACACACTGACATTAACGCAAATTGAAGCGATGTCCTAGCCTGCGCACTTAATGACAGAAAAGCTTACAGGGGACTCTCGCCGATCGATACATTTTTTTTTTTTTGCAGCGGGGGACGGAGATGCAAGCAATCCATCACACTTGCAGAGACACCCCACAACATGATGTATAAGAAATGGCGTGCACATTTCAACTGCCGGCAAAAGCTTCACATCGAACGCCAGAATAACACGGTAACATCCAACCACAAAGGGAGAGCGATAAAACAGCATATCGGAACACCAGAGACATCTATGAATAGTGCCGCCAACGAAAATCAGCGAGCGTCGTACACGCTTCACTTCATCTGGTAATGATGTCAGATAATGGTGTCACTTTAGACCGACATGAACTTAACGCATTTTATTTAAACGATACCCCGATCATAGGCCGTAGTGAGACCACATAATTCGCCCGTGCTGACTGGGACAACAGCGCCAACATCCACACCTAATGACAGGGCATGGAACATTGAGAGTGACTGTGTACAGTCGGGTTAAGAGCCGCGTGGGTTGTGAGGAATCCTTACTGACAAAGCACAACGCCAGCCGCGCCGGGATTCACATACAGCATCCGCGCTAGGCAACAGCACATCAGCTACCAACAGGTAACACACAGCGTTCATAAACCGTAGTGGGAGGGCGAGGTGCAGGCAGCAGAGCCACGCTGGGTATCACATACAACAGCCGCACTAGGTAACAGCCTGCAGAGCGCATACCGCGGAGAGAGAGGGAGAGAGAGTGGAGAGGAGTGGAGCAGTCGCACTAGCCTTCCGAATCTGCACAACACAGCTATAGTACCACTGTGAAAATGTGGGGTCAACAGCCTACACCATACAGCTATTCTACTCAGTGAGTAACGCCGGGTTCGAACCAGTCGGCTTGAGCTAGCAGCTGCACAATGCAGCTGGCCAAACTGGCATAATAAAAACCTTCTTTGACAGGGATAAGGCGGTGGGACCGGCGGCTGCTGACGTGGTTTTTTATTCACACGGTGTGTTTCATAACGGGAGTAGGCGCATTTGACTAAATCATCATTGGGAATAAAGGAAACCGCAAACATCTAAACAGACGAGATAGGTCGCAGGCTCGCAGCACAATGGTTAACCACATTGAGTCGGGAAAATGTAACAATTCGAATAACTATGCTACTTGCGAGATTATTCATAGCACATAATTACAATGCAAACGTTAAAGCATAAAGCACGACTTCTAAAATAAGGGATAGCGATAACAAGGGCAAGGTGCCGTGTTTCCTCGCATTGGGTGCTGAGCCTAAGATTTACCAATTCAAACCGAAGTAATACATCAATCTATGATCCCCACAAATCACCCAGGAGTTTCATCTGAAGAGTTGTTCGAGTAAGGCCGCAGTTCCCAGTCCCTGATGATTGTCACTGATGATGAGGGGAATGTATCGCTTCCAGGATTGACACGTGCAGGCGTCATCCGAGATCTAAGAAAACCCGAGGGAAAAGGCCGGGGTGAAGAGAAAAGGGAGGGTGTTTGGAGAAAGGAAAAGAGAGAGAGAGAGAGAGAGAGAGAGAGAGAGAGAGAGAGAGAGAGAGAGAGAGAGAGAGAGAGAGAGAGAGAGAGAGAGAGAGAGAGAGAGAGAGAGAGAGGCGGATAAAAGAGAAAGTCCTTCCGCTCATCCCAGCTCACCTTGAAGAGTCCTATGGAGGAGGACATGCTGTCCACCTCGACTGTGATGTTGTTCAGGTCCCGGTCGCTGTTCTGCAGGATGCTCTGACGCTTCTGCCACACAGACGCCGAACTGAAACACACAGAGATGGGCAGGTAAGAGTTTGTCAGTGAGGCTCCACCACTTCTATGGCTACACTGCCACCCAGGGGAGGGAATGATAACAAAGAAGAATGAATATGCACTTACACGTGGAGAGAAGACACTGAGAACACAGCTAGAATGTCGCCTGCAGAAGAGATTAAGTGCGGATACCTCCGCTCTCCACTCAAAAGACGTAGATTTACCTGGCAGCTTTCAAAGTCTTCTGAAGCCACCATGCCTCATATTCTTTCGGTTTATTCAGCGGATCAAGTAGGATCAAGTCCCCCATCACATCCCACCATATTCCGCTTCCCCGGCCCACATCCCACACCCCTTTTCACCCCCGATCCCAAACCCCATCCTCCCCCGGTCCCACCTAGGCATCATGTTGCTGAAGGGCGTCTGCAGTCGGCTGGCGTCCAGTCCGTGGGTGGTCAGCACCTCGGTCAGCCGCGCCTGGTCCAGGAGCAGCGGAGCGGCCGGCGGCTCGCGGCCCAGGTGCGGATCGTAGTGACTCTTCAGGTCCGGCAGGAGGTGGGAGGAGGCCAGCTGGCGGGCAGACACCACCTGGAGAGGGGGGAGGGGGGGGGGTGTTAGAGGGTTAAGGGTTGGGGGCCAGTGACAGAGCAAGGAAGTTCTAGGGACGGGACGAGGGCGGTACAGTCAGGATCGGCGGAAAAGGCGTGAGCATTGAACACCTGTTCATGAAGGTCAGCAGAAAGGGCTTCTGGAACCTCAGCTACACAAAAGCTTTACAACAAGCCACCCTAAACGAAATACATGGCCTCAAAACGCACACCCAAAAAGTCAGGTCGTAATGTCTGGGACACTTCGAACCAACACCGGCGTGCCTAACACAATGCACACTAGACGCAACCGCTTGACAGAATGTAACGATCCAAGCGACATCGATTATGCGCACCACAGTCCACACATGACAGACGTACTTGTTTGACGTACTGGAACAGCCCCGGCACGTTGGAGTGGCAGGACACAAAGTTGGCGAAGGTAATGGCCAGAATGTGCAGGTTTATCCGCAGCGTTTGGCTCATCTCCGAGTTCAGGGCGATCTCCTGTGAAACCAGAGCGTAAACGTTTAGTTGGTTAGTGATTCAGTGTTTCAGAGGATACTGGATAGTTCTCTAATAAAATGTGCTATACAGCATATTTTTGTGTTGGTATTTTTTGTGAGAGAATCTCTAATGCTGAAACTGTAATATTGTTTCATGGACATGGAGCCTATGTCACGTTATTGTTTCCAGTTATACGGAAAATTACACTACATTAAAGTTGTACCTTGTACCTTGTAGAATACAAGGTTAATTACTGGAAATTATACTGAAAAATTACAACACAGATTATACACCAATAGCAAACACAAAACAAGCTAGTCAAAACTCTCCTACCCACCAGCTTACCGTTACCCACGCTGTCTCACACTGACAGATCATCAGCCTCTCATCCCACAGCGTTCCCTATCATCCACACCACCCCCTCCAATCATATCATCCATCCCAATTCCCAGCCCACACCAACATTTGCCCGTCCCACCCCCACCCACCTGCATATCAAGTGTCAGCCGCAGCACGTCAGGCAGGAAGTCGGGTCCGTTCACCTCCAGCCAGAGAAGCGCCAGGGTGCGGTACACCGCCTCCAGATTATCCAGACCGTTATTGGCCAGCTCCAGACTCTCCAGCAGACAGAGCAGCATCTCGGGGCCGTTCCGTTTTATGAACATGACGTCCTGTCGGGAACACTTATGCAGCTGGAGGTCCAGCTGGGTGACGTCCAGTCTGTCGGGAGAGAGGAGGAGAGTGATGTTAGAGAAACGGACAGAGTATTCTGGACAGCGGTGGTGACGATGAGAATACATAAGCCGCCAGTCGCATTCATTGTTATTTTTAAGCAAAGGGCGGTTAAACTTTCTAGCAAACTCCTTATTTGGTTGTTATTTGGCATTCTCAAATAGCGACTTTCCTGTTCTCAAATACGGCATTGGTATTCGCAAATAACGATTTCCTCTACCCTACACTTCCTGGGTTTATCTAAACACCAAACCTATGCCACCCACCTGGGTTTATCCAGTTTAGCCAGGTTCCCTCTCCGGTCGATGAGCGTGTGCAGAATCTGCTGAACAATGAGTCGGATCTCCGGATCGGGGGCCAGTGACATTCTCATCAGCGGATCCAGGAACGACAGCGGGAACGTCGTGGCCAGGTTAAGCGATGTATATTTGGTGCTCACCTGGTAAACAGAGAAATGTCAGAGACCTACCAAAAGAGAAAAACACACGATAGGACGTGAGAGTGACATTCCGAGAAGAGTACTCACTCAAAGCTTGAGAGTGTGCGACTGAAAACAAGTCGGAGAAAGTCGCAGAGAGGGAGATAAGGTATGCAGCGACTGGAAAAGTTGAGAGCTGTTTGTGCTCAGGAATGACGTCTTATTGTGGAGAGAAGCGAGAGAGATCTCATACGTGATGTGAAACGGCAAGCCGGGCTAGAAGACGAAATGGACGGCGCTTTACGCGCGTATATTACGCGAACGCAGGGTGGTGAATTTCATTAGATGGGGAAATTAAAATACCGGCATCGTCGCGCAGCACCGCATGGTGTACAAAACGTGAGTGCGGCGGCGGGTTGGACAGTTTTGACAGGCGGGAAAGGCGACTGTCAGGGCGTGACACACACGTGACAGGGTGTCACAGATGAATGACAGATGGCTGACGGACGAGACAGCCTTACGACACCAACATTCCCGCGCCGTGGCAACCTGCTGCGATACTGAGCTTTGATTCATCTCTAAGAACTCATCGCCAATATCTGCAGGACTATTTCCTTTCCGACGCGGATGCTTTTAACGACTTCTCCGCCCTCTGCCAACCGTCCTCGGTTGTCATGGCGACCAACCCCTACCGGGACCGGCCGGCGCCTGAGACGCCGGTAGCCGGCTAAACGAACAATGCCGGCCGACCCTTCCCCCCTGCCCCGGCGGCCCGCTCGGCGCGGCCGCCGCGCGGGCTGGCGCGCTCGGCGTGCGAGGGGACATGGGAGCAGCGGACAGCTGACTGCTTCCGGCACTGGGGCCCCGAACGGGTCTCGCCGTGTAGAGTGCCAAACACCGGCCAGCGACCACCGACGGGACGATCACACTGCTGAATCTGCCAGACGTGCATACGACCGGGCACATCTGATGGCGGTGCGTGACCGACTAAGCAACGACACCACTCGTGAAGTAGCCGAGACTATCCGGCGCAGTCTTCCCGCGTATCTCATCCGCTGTCTTAATCGATCACGCCCCCTCAGCCCTGCGGAAGCGGCATGTGGACCCCGCCCCGCATCGAGGACTCTCCAGTCCAGCCGGCCGACCGACCCGCCCAAATTGCTGATCGGCGCCCTAAATATTCAAAGTATCAAACCCAAACTTCAAGAGCTGACCTGCGAACTCGCTCGCCGCAACTACGACGTAATGGTGCTTTCCGAGACCTGGCTACGTCCGTCTACCCCGAAACGCCTCCTGGTCATTCCGGGCTACTCGCTCAGTCGTGTGGACCGCCCAGATGGCAGCGGTTATGGCGGCGTAGCCATCATCACTAAAAACAGTTTGACGTCAATGACACTGAAGATCCCCGGCAGCGGGAGCTCCGAAAGCAAGCTGGAGTCGCAGTGGGCGCTGCTGAAGCTGGACAAGGGCCAACAGATAATCATCTGCTCCCTTTATCGGCCACCCCGACACTCTGAGGCTGCCCTGCTCGCCGACTTCACGGACCTCGAGGCCCAGCTGCAGCGGGTCCTCATCGATTACCCCAGAGTTCCGTTCGTTCTCTGCGGGGACCTCAACTGTGACCTATTGAAGGGGCCGAATTTCCGCGCGTCTCAACATCTGATCAGCTTCTTATCGAATTATTCTTTAGATCAACTAGTAACAAATCCAACTTTTACCTCCGGCTCTCTATTGGATGTATGTATTGTTAACAAACGCGAACTTGTGTGTGACACCAGCGTTAATTATTGTCACTTCAGTCCCCATAAAATCATCGACGTGATTGTCAATGTGCCGAAAGTGCGTCAAAAGCCCGCCGTTATCTCATCTCGCTCTTTTAAGCGCCTAGATCACCCTGCACTGTATCACGACTTACTCGATGTCGACTGGGATTATGTCTTCTCTGCCGAAACTGTCAGTGACAAGTGGCATGCTTTCTTGTCGTTCTTCGTACCTGTTTTTGATGCCCATGCCCCAATCAAGCGTGTGTCTATCCGTAACCCGACCGCTCCTCCCGTCTCCGCCGCCACCCGTAACCTCATGTCTCAACGTCGCGCTGCGCTTCGCCATCTAGGCCGCAACTCGAGCGAATACAGAGACCTAAACCGCTCAGTCCGGGCGGCAGTGCGTCGAGACAGGCGAATAGAGATACGGAGGGAAATTGGGGAGCGGGGCCCCAACAAAGTTTGGCAGTGCATCAGGTCAGTGGTAGCCGCGAAGAAGGACGGCCCAGACATCCAGCCCGATCTATCTGCCGATGATTTAAATTCATTTTTTGTATCTGTCGGTCCTCGTGTCGCTGACGAGATCCGAGCCCAAAACACTCCCACCGATTTGGATGTGCGTCTCACCCGTGTCGGCGCATGCAGTTTTCAACTTCGTGAGATAACACTGGGGGAGCTCGAGCGGATTATTTTCAGCATGCGTAACTCGAGTGCCTGCGGCTCCGATAACGTGTGTGTCCGCATGCTGAAATTCGGATTCCCCGCTATTGGTGCTGTCATCCTGCATATTATCAATACCTGCTTAATCCAATCTGACATCCCCGATTCATGGAAACATTCCACAGTTCACCCTCTGTTCAAGTCTGGTAACCCTTCAGACCCCGCAAACTTCCGACCCATTTCCCTAGTTCCTGTAATCATGAAAGTAGTTGAACGCATTGTCCATCAGCAGCTCTACGCCTACCTCTCCCATAATCACCTTCTGGCATCCTCCCAGCACGGCTTCCGCCCCCGGCACTCCACGGAAACCGCGTTGCTGTCTGTCACTGAACACATCCTGGCCGCCACTGATAGGGGGGATTTGTCAATGCTATGCCTTCTCGATCTCAGTAAATGTTTCGACGTGATTGACCACGATCTTCTGATGCAAAAACTGATGTTACACGGCATTGAAATTTCCTGGTTCGCCGCCTATCTACATGGACACACTCAGAGCGTGTCTTTGAAAGATGTATCCGGACGTAGAGTGCTGTCTAGGCCTCTTTCTAATGCCATGGGTGTCTTCCAGGGCTCTGCGTTAGGGCCGCTTCTTTTCACCATTTTCTCTAACAACTTATCGCTATACGCGGGCGACGCAAAAGTGTTTCAGTATGCCGATGACACTCAAGTATTGGTTAGCGGTCCAGCTCGGGACCTCGAAGTTCTCATCTCGCGCATGGAGGACTCGCTCGCGTCTCTCAACGACTGGTTTTGCGCTAACGCCCTCAAAGTGAACGCAAGTAAAACACAGCTTATTGTATTTGGCACTCGTCAAAATCTTCGTAAATTACCAGACTTTAGAGTACCATTCCGCAACGCAGCGTTGCAACCGTGCGCACAAGTCGGGAACCTTGGCGTCACTTTTGACAGCACTATGTCATGGGACGCACACGTCTCTGAACTCTGCCGCCGGTGTACGGGACTGTTGATTGGTCTTTCACATGCGCGCCACTGTCTCCCAGATGGCATCATTCGAACGCTCGTGACGGCACTCGTTGTATCGCGTATCCAGTACTGCCTTTCAGTTTATGGTAATGGGTCCCAAAAAAATTTCGATCGACTCCAAAAAATTCTTAACTTCGCCGCTAGAGTTATTTTCGGCCGCCGTAAATTTGACCATGTCTCCGACCTGCGAACAAAACTCGGGTGGTTGTCCCCGCGCGGTATGTCCGATTTCCACACCCTTGTCATCGCACACAAGGTCATACAGCGCCGTGAACCTGAGCAACTAGCAGCCCTGTTCGTCGCTAATAGCGCTATCCGCGAGAGACCATCCAGACAAGATCACTTCTTCCATCTTCCCCGTCCACGGCTGGAAACGGGCAAGCGGCGGTTTGGCTATCGAGCTGCAGCTCTGCTGAACAGCCTGCCACCTCACCTGTCGCAGCTGCCTCCCGCCCGCTTCGCCCGCGCTGTTAAAGCCGCAATCGTGGACGATGAATCAGCACATCGTCGCTGACCAATAGGATAGGGGTGGGTAAAAGCGATGAGGCTGTCCTGAGAGTGTTTTGTCCTAGTTTTGACGTGAGTGAATGTGCAACTGTTTTGAATGATTAGATTAGCAACCGCGGATACGGATTCTGAGCAGTAATCGCCACGCACTTTGTATGTGGATCGCTCTTAAATGTAAATACAATACAATACAATACAATAGCATCACAAATACAAGCCCAGCAACATATTCCCTTATCTCAGTCCTCAAAGCACGTCCTCCCCTCCTACTACCACGGACCCGGCACTCAATAGTCCTCAAAGCACGCTCCCCAATCCTCCCAACGCCCCTCCTCCTTCCTCCCCGTGGACTGTAATGCCACCTGTCACGCAGCCTTTCTCCGCCCGCGACCAGAAGCGGCAATCTCCAGAGAGAGAGAGAGAGACGACGAACAGCGATTGGTTCGCCGCTAATTGTAATTACTGGCTCCGTGTCGTTACGTGGGGTCTGTGGCTCTCGTGTTACCATACGGCCGGGGATCGATGGCGGCCGTTGAGATGAGATGAAGTGCGTCTTTCGCTGCGGGTAGGATGTGGGTGCTTGAGATGCGATCGACACTCACTCATTGGGCAATAGCGTGTAGGAAGGAGTGGTTAGAGTGTGGGCATGGATGAGAAATGTGCTTCTTGACTTTCTGTGTTTCCGAGCCAAAGTGTAGGTGTGGATGTGAATGTTGAAATACTTATTTTCATGGTACAGAATACCACAGTTGATCAATAACGAGATATAATATGTCGCTTACTTTCGCTGAGTGCTAAGAAACGACACCAGTGGATGCCTACCAAGCAGATATTTCCCACTGCAGTCTTCCAGTCTCCCCCATAGCCCCCGTTGATACCGCACCTTGAGCAGACTCCTGAGCAGCATGTTCTGTAGCAGCACCTCGCCCTCCGAGTCGGCCTCCTGACGCTCCCGGTCTCCCGGGTACTGCGGCACCTTGCCCATGATGAACATCATAATCTCGATCTTCTGATAGTCTGTAAGCACGCCAACACAGGTCAGATACACCCACCATCTATACATGTGGCAGCCAATTAGAGTATTTCTCTCAGTTTGACACAGACGGCGGTGTGAGAGGGTTCGTCTGCCCCGCTCGGACGGAGTCTTTATGGAGCCATTCCAGGCCCCGTGCAGTTCCCGGAAAACACATCACTCCATCTGAGCAGCAGGAAGACACGCGGTACGACTGACAAAAATGGCTCTCGTGGGTACGGTGTGTACCCATTTCGCTACTCTTCCGCCCCGTCAGTGGGTTCACAGGAGACTGAAAATCTCTCTAGCTCCATTAGCAGATGCATCACTTATCCTTCTACCCCGTTCACCCCATTTCAGCCCAGTTCCAGCCTTGGTGACATCCATAGTTCATCCCCGCAGACCCCTTCAAAGACACCATTAAATCCCGGAACTAGTAAAATCGTCCATCTCACGCTTTCTTTCCAGCAACCCTCAAGATCCTTTCTGTCCAGTGTCCACCTTTATTTCACTCACTTTCACCCCTAGTATGTATATCCCATATTTACTCTGTTTCTATCGGTAACACCCCAACCTCCGCTACCTTTACCGCTCCTCTCCGTACCTGGCAGATTGTTGGCGAACTCTCCGAGCGCGTCAATCAGCGCCTCCTGGTACTGCCGCTCGTCGCTCTGGTCCTTATGCGTGCCGGCGCCGCGGTCGGCAGTCACGGACTGACGCAGGTGACTCAGCAGGGAGTTGATGATCTCCAGAACGGAGGGACCTGGCGCACAGACGAACAGGGGGTAAGATCGGCAACATTGGCGGAACTGATCTAAAGCATGGAGGAACCTGCTGAACACGGGTGTGATGAAGACGGCAAGGAGAAAGTACAGGGAGGAGGTTATTGGCAATACCAGTAGAGTTGATCATGTCCAGCACGGAGGGACATCGCTTCGCACATGAATACGTGGGATCAAGATTACCGTGAGACGTGGACGAGATACTTTGGGTTGGCCTACAAGCGCGACAGTGTAAATGTTACATACAACAATCGGCCAGCAACTTTCATCAGCTACATGGGTAACTCAACTCACTGACACCGGAATGAAAAAAGCTTTGATCCGGGAGGGGACGCTGTCAGAGATATCAATCTGAGCCGATCGAAAATGACAGATCGGACGGCCGTCGAGCGCCCAGGGCCTGTGAGGAATCGGTAACGGAAATGAAACGCCAGTCTCCACACCGATCAAAGTCGGGGACAAATTGGTTAATCCGTCAACTCTAGCTAGTTCATCCAATATGTCAATATGAGAGTTACGCAACTCGGATAGAGAAGCAGGCCAACAGGCAGCACGGGCTACCAACGCGTACGAAAGCTTTAGGGTGAATACGAGGTCAGCGCTTGCATGTCCACTTGAAATCCATCAGCTGCTCGTGAACTGAGAAAGGTCAGCCCCACTCCAGCACATAAAACACGGGAAAGCAGCACCACAGCGAGCAACACACGACATCGCCAGACGTCCTAATCTCGCCCAGACTTCTGTATCTGGGTCACAGCAGTCGGCGCCGCCCCTTCCCCACCCCAACCCACATGGAACGACTTCCTCTTCCCGCCGCTCTTAAATCCCTCTCAACGTCCGCCCCATCTTCGTCGAAGGCGGCAAGCCTTCCGTAATGACCGGAACAGGATATATCACAACTCCACACTCCCTCCTCCCCTCCCCGTCCCTCATCGCCTCTCCAGTTCCTACGAGTGCGATTAATATCACGCGTTCGGCGAGCGGCCGCTCATCTGTGTGGTGTAATGAGGATCCACGGGCCTCGGAGGGGCGCCTGGGGAGGGTATCGCGCTCAGAGGCGTCATTAGAGTCCCGCACAGGACACCTACGCGTGTGTCGAGGTTGGCAGGTGCTGGCAGAACCCGTGCGGTAGCACAGGTGAGCCGGCCACTACCGTGGCGACAGAGACTAGGTGAAGAATAAGGTAGTAGTGAGATAGCTATGGGTGAAGCTAGTATTGCGACATAACTATCGACACCTCACCGAGTATTATCATCATAGCTCTTCCTCGAAATCTTATCGCAAGAGTTGGGAAAAAGTGCAATATTATCAGCATTGCTAGCGGGTCGAGCATCGAAAAAAGCAGGAAAATATGTAATCAAAGAAGGAATGTTACGCAGCCGGTTGTAGACAACTATGAAAGCGTTATTTGAGTCTGAAAAAACTCCTCTTACGACACACACGGACATACAATAGTTAGTAAGTACTTGGTAGTGGATAGTGGTGCCACCATCAATTCGCATATAACCCCACAAACCGTTTACTGTGCCAAGAACGAGCGGAGGGCGGGGGGTATTGGGGACGGGGCTGTAGGGATGGGATGCAGGAGCTGAGTGTTAGGGTGGGGTGCACGGGTGGAGGTAAACAACAGTGTTGTGTGTGCCACAGACATCGGTATCAATCCACTACACCTGTAGGCTGTAAATGACAGCACCGCAGACATACACAGGCACAAACAGCGGCATACGGGGGAGGGGAGGGAAAGAGAGAGAGAGAGAGAGAGAGAGAGAGAGAGAGAGAGAGAGAGAGAGAGAGAGAGAGAGAGAGAGAGAGAGAGAGAGAGAGAGGGAGGGAGGGAGGGAGGGAGGGAGGGAGGGAGGGAGAGAGAGAGAGAGAGAGAGAGAGAGAGAGAGGGGGAGAGAAGAGGAGAGAGAGAGAGAGAGAGAGAGAGAGAGAGAGAGAGAGAGAGAGAGAGAGAGAGAGAGAGAGAGAGAGAGAGAGAGAGAGAGAGAGAGAGAGAGAGAGGGAGATCCCAGACCCGGATCCGGACTACCCGTCGAGATCCCGGACTGCTGGCAGAGTGTAACCAAATGGAAACAGTCATCGGGTAACACTGGACGGATAAAATTAATCAAACTGCATACAAACTCACGCAACACACCTTAAAATTCGGGAAATGAGTTTGCTAGAAACGAGAATTATTTAGGACGATTTGGTGCAAAGTTGCGCCGCATTACACTCGGCGTAAATGGAGTGAGCTCTGCAAAGTGAACTGCCTGTAGATGCCTGTAGCATCAACTTGCGCCCTTAATTTAATTCATTTGGACTGATATTAGAAACTGAATAGACACAACTTTACTCAGCGCAGTAAGTCGAATTCATATGGGATACTTCCATCCACTTAAAGGGACCCTCCCACCTTCAAAAAAGTTAATGAATTGGCATGAAAGTGATGTCGCTCGGTTCAGAAAGAGCAAAAACGAATATCTACCAAATTTCATCGAAAAATATTCACCGGTTTTCAAGATATTAGACTTTTACTTTTGTTTACTTTTTGGGATCTCCGCTGTTCCTAGCGACTTTATTTGAAAGTGCGGCATTTGTTGCGCGCAAAGCAGCATATACCACCGCGTGCTACCAAACGTTTTAGTAAAAGATTTAAAATCGTTAGATCTCCGCTGACGTCACAAATTCTAAGGGGGCATACCAATGCATTAGCCCCTTAGAATCCGAAAACTGCAAGTTTGAAATTCGATATCTCCGAATTAAAGCATTTTTCGATGTTGTGAGTGCCCAAATCGGTATTTTCAGGCCATGGCCACCAATTTGGCTATCTCAACTCAAATCTAATGTTAAGGTGGGAGGGTCCCTTTAATGGGGTTATATCCGAAGTGAGCAACGCATCGATATGTATGTCAGTAGGTTGGTCTAAAAACCTTAAACCTGCCAGTCCTTGCCAAAAACACCTGAACACTGAATAAGCTACTGGATGATGATTCGCGATCATGGGTTCCGCAACAAAACAGCTATAAGACCAACGTGCAAGGAGGTAAAACACCAACCAACTCACCCCTCCATCCCTCACCACCGATCCTGTCCCTCTCCCCCCTCAGACCCCCTCCCTCTCCCCCCCTCTCTCTCTCTCTCTCTCTCTCTCTCTCTCTCTCTCTCTCTCTCTCTCTCTCTCTCTCTCTCCAATACGTACCAACGCACTCGCCGGCCGCGATGGTGATAATTTTGGCCAACACCTCAGCAATCCCCGTGCGCACCGGCGCCTCCGAGCGAGACTTTTCGTCCAGGTGCGTCATCAGCAGCTGGATCACAGCGTATGAGTGTTGAGTCTGTGGGCAGGAGCAAAGGGGCGGGGTGATGGTAACGAAAGAATGGAGGTGGGGTGATTGTGGCACGCTCGGGGCAGTGAGTTCGAATCGGGGCACGTCACGGAACAGCGACCAGAATCGGGGTCACCCGGAATAGCATCCGGATGAGAAAATATTCGCTTGTGCGGGTTGTTTGAATGATGAAATGCATGATCCTAGCCTGTGGCAAACGGATGCACAGATGAGAATGAAGGAAGTGTGCCCATACTACCGGATTCGTAGGTGATTTAAATGATTAAACGGAAAGCCTTAGCTTCGGACTGACAAGTAAATCGATAGGAACAGACAGGGAGTGTGCCCATCTTGTGTTTTCATTCTAAAATCATTACGAGATGATTCGAGATCAATGAATCATAGTTGGAAATCGAACTGGAAGTGAAGTTCTACATCAACTATTTCTACTGTTACTCTCCGGTTCAAAAACTTCCCAAAAATCAGAGTGCGAAAGGTACCTTATTTTGCAAAGCAATAAGTCACAATGATTGCGCTCTATAAATACATTCGTTGTTGCCGCCACCAGCTTCCTTCATTAATGTATAAATGCATGCCCGGCAACCCACATAGGGGTTGATAAACACCTTAATTAGGTACACCCTCCCCTTATCATTTCAGTGTACGAAAACAGCACATCACAGGAACATATGATGATGAAGATGATTAGCCAGATGCTCATTATTTAGGATCAAAATTGATAGAATAGTTGTATTACGTTTCACCCACGGGGCTTCTTCGGATACATATAGGTAAATTCAACAAATAGAACACAGAGATGCAGGCCAAGCTCAGACACAAATCATGCGCATGCAATAAATATCGTGAAAGGATTAACAGATATCTTGAGATTTAGACGAATAATAATTTTAAGATCGACCCCTAAGTGCGTACTGCGCGCTATTATTTGTCTTTGTTAATAAATACGTATACCTATTTAACAGTCGACAACACAATCCGTACTACGCGAATTACGCTATCATTCCATCTCAGAATTCGTACTACGCGCACACTAATACATACACATCATTCTAAATCACAGCTAACAATGACCTATAATACCCAATCATAATCAGTGTTCGGCGGTACAGCATATCTACAGGCGCTGCCTACTGGAGCCATCTGTTAGACACGAAAGGAACTACTGCTACTATGTAGGTATCGGTGTCATATAACGCTACCAACAGAACAAGCCAAGGAACAAGCGCTAATGTGCATATGATGATGTGTAGGGAACTGGATGGAGTAAGCGCCATGATGATGTGTTTTTGTTAAGTGCTGGTTTTTTGTTTCTTATCTCAATTGATTCAGTTATTAAAAGGTTCGCTTCGTCCTTGCATCTATGAAGAATAGAAATTTCGAAGTCAGTGTTCATCGGTTGTGCTGTGGGGTGTGCTGTCAGTATATGATCACCTAGGTCAGTACCTTTCCTTTTGTTCCTAGCGTCTCCCAAGTGTTCCATAAATCTAGTCCTCACCATGCGTTTAGTTTTACCAATGTATGTATCTCCACACATTTTACATTTAATCTCATACACAACGTTTTTGGTATGGCATCTACCTTTGAGGCCACCCTCACACGTACTGCAAGTCTTACGACACCCCCTGGGACAATCAGGGGGTTGCAGTGCAGACGAGGTCAGTTGATTTGAGAGTGTAGGTCCGCTTTTCCACGCAACTCGAATATCCAAATCTGAGGACTTCACTGCTGCGTTGACTTTACGTGTGAGGGTTTCGTCAATGTAAGGTAGAGATATGTAGGTAATATTGGGAGAAGACTTTTTCTTTTGAGATTGTTTGTTTTTATATCTGATTGCGTTTTGTATGTTACGAATCAGTTTAATCGGATAGCCGCTGGAAATGAATATGTCCGTTATTTTTTGTAGACCCCGGTCCTGTGCTGCTTTATCAGACCCCAAACGAACAGCTCTAAGCGACTGAGAGTGTATGAGGCTCCTTTTGGTCTGCATAGGGTGGCTGGAGTCAGAATGTAATATGATAGGGGCTGCTGATGGCTTAACATAAAGTTCTGTGGTGTATGCTCCTGAGGGTTCTACAGTGATTAGTGTATCAAGGAAGGGAATTTGTCTTTGTGACGAGAGATCGGTGCGTTCGAAGCTGAATTTTAGACAGGGATGGAAGCTATTAATGAACTGTATGTATTCATCTAAGTTTTGCGAGCCATGGGTCCAAATACCAAAAATATCGTCGATGTATCTAAGGTAAAGTGCAGGTTGTAGTCTATCCGATGCTAGTATGCGTGTTTCTACTGCGTTCATGAAGAGGATAGCCAGGGGAGGGGCTATACGGCTTCCCATAGCTATCCCCTGGGTTTGCTTGTAATATTTTGTACCGAAGCGTACATAGTTGTTTTCCAGACAGTGCTCAAGTAATTTTTTCACATCAGGGATGGTGAGACCATATAAGTTCACCTTTGACGAGTGGGTACGTAGCATAGCTATAGTCGCCTCTATCGCTTCTGCTGTGGGGATGTTACCGTAGAGATTGTTCACGTCTACTGTGAATGCGATGGCACCGGGTGGGAGGCCAGAAGGGAATCGAGTGCTCAGGTGTTGCAAATAGTCATAGGTGTTAGTTAAGTGGGCTGGTACTAGGATCAGAAGCTGGGTGATTATTCTCTCTAGGAACCACGAGAGCTTGTCAACTGGGTCCCCACATGCTGATACTATGGGTCTCATCGGGTTGCCTGGTTTGTGTGTTTTCGGAAGTCCATAAAGTTCTGCCGTGCGTGACTCGTTAGGTTTTAGAGCGTGTATGATTTTGTCGGGTAGTTTACCTGCCAAAGTCTCGGTGATGAGGTCAGAAGTCTCGACGTCTAGTTTTTTGGTTGGATTTTTGTCAATGGGCTGATAATCATTCACTATAGTTTCAGTCTTGTGTACGTACTCTGATTTCTCCAAAAGGACTAATCCCTTGCATTTATCTGAGCGCTTGACGATAAGGTCGTCATCATTCTTTAGGTCTGTGAGTGTAGATCTGTCATGTTTTGTGTGGTTCTGTTTGGTGTTTGATTTGTGGTGAGTATACAGACCCATTACTTTTTGTTTGAGTTTCTTCAGTGCGTGTTCTGTGACAGGGTGGGCTTGAGGTGCTTGTTTCGTGTCCGTGTCACTAAATCGAGGACGAAGCGTAACCTGGGGCTTATGTTGAACTTGACCTGGTGGTCCATGTTGTTTGTTTTTATTTTGTTGCTCGATTTCCTCCTGCCAACGTATAGCAAATGCGCCTCTTTCGAGGCCCACTTCAACGTTGTGTATAGTGTGATTGTTAATGCGTTGTGAGAGGGCAAAACTGGGACCCTTTTCAAGAAGGTTGGTCTCTTTAGAGCTGAGAGGGCGAGTTGTGAGGTTGGTGAACTTTTTAACAGTGGATGCCGGAGCTGGCAGGCCTAGCGCTTGCTCTATCGCCGGGTTTTGTTTGTAGTCGTTATCAACATCACACCTATCGCTAGAGATAGTTCCGTTCGAGGAAGTAGGCATAGGAGGTGCGCTGGTCTGCCTATACTGATTGTCACACCGTGTAGTACTATATCCTATCCTAGTCTGAAGGCCTCTGGATTTCGGGCGCGCTCCACTACCGGAGTGCTCCTGTGTGACGCTACTGGTAACGAGGACAGCTCCCTCAATGGCGTCATGCCAATAACTAGCGCCCTGCATCTCCACTCCTACCCGGTTTTCAACATGTGCGTCAAACCAAATGTCATTATCAACATCTAACTGAGAGGCAATACTCCGTTGGTCTCTGCCAGCTGCGGGGGCATCCTCTGACCGATGATCAGAGATGGCATGGTCCACAGCGTCAACGCAATGATACTCAAAGTATGGTACTGTTCCCTCATAACTACTCCCTTGGGCGTCAAACCACACTTCATCATTCAGTTCGTGTGGACCTGTTGTTACCGACACACATCCCTCTTCCTTGACGCTACTGGTCACAGTTTGTAGGTTACCATCGTCTGATTCCCCCTGTGCACTCACCCGCTTCCCAATAGCCATGGCGATGGTAGCCTTACTGCTAATGGTGGTAATATCCTCCGTGACACCAGTGATGGTAGTGGTGTCATCAGTGACGGCGGTGGCGACGTCGGTAGCGATGCTGGCACCAAACAGACCAGTGATGGTGGCACTGAGGTCACCCAGGTAACCAGCGATGGTGGTGCTGAAGTTACCGAGGCATCCAGCGATGGTGTCACAGAAGTCCCCGACGGCAGCAGCAACGGCAGCGACACCGGTGGTAGTGGAGGCGTCACTGAGGTCATCGGCGACGGCGGCACCGAGGTCACCGGCGGCAGCGGCAGCAGCACTGAGTTCATCAGCGGCAGCGGCAGCAACACTGAGGTCACCGGCGACAGCGGCGGCGACACTGAGGTCACCGGTGGTGGCGGCGGAAGCACAGTGGTAACCAGAGCCAACGGCAGCGACACTGAGGTCAGCGGCACTGAGTTCACCGACGACAGTAGCAGCGACACTGAGGTCACCGGCGGCAGTGGCGGCGGCACTGAGGTCACCGGCGGCAGCACAGTGGTAACCAGAGCCAACAGCAGCGACACTGAGGTCACCGGCGGCGGCGGCACCGAGGGCACCGGCGGCAGTGGCGGCGGCACTGAGTTCATCAGCGGCAGCGGCAGCGACACTGAGGTCACCGGTGGCAGCGGCAGCAACACTGAGGTCACCGGCGGCGGCGGCACCGAGGTCACCGGCGGCAGTGGCGGCGATACTGAGTTCATCAGCGGCAGCGGCAGCGACACTGAGGTCGCCGGCGGCAGCGGCAGCAACACTGAGGTCACCGGCGGCGGCGGCACCGAGGTCACCGGCGGCAGTGGCGGCGGTACTGAGTTCATCAGCGGCAGCGGCAGCGACACTGAGGTCACCGGCGACAGCAGCAGCGACACTGAGGTCACCGGCGGCGGCGGCACCGAGGTCACCGGCGGCAGTGGCGGCGGCACTGAGT